TGAACCAAACACTTGTGAACAACACAAATATGTCGAGGTCAGTCCCCGGCATTACTTCAGGAAATATTTTGTTTAAAATTGAACTCTGAGTCCTTGCTATGAAGAGTGTTCACTTTGTAGAGAGTCTTGGGAATACACACAATGTGTGACTTGTTCTTTATATGTGCTATATTACAAGTAAATGCTTACTTAAAAAAAAAAAAAAAAAGTCTCATAACTAACCATAGTTCACTCTCCTCATTCCTTCAATACTATTACTTTTACCAGCTAGGTCAGTCACTTATACCAATTCACCTTTCGATAATTCATTTGTTCTCTTGTTAATTCAGATGTCTTAAATACCGTAGGTATTCAAAATATATTTGCTGCATGAATTGATGCATATGTTTAATTCTTTAAGTTACAGGTGGTTCCTGATGTTTATCACCTAAAACAATACTGTTTAACTTTTTCTTAACTAAATATGTTATTGTGATATTGGAGAAAATTTACATAGCAAATAGTTTTGCGTTTAACATTTTTCTATTGACTTGACAACACTTAACAGCAATACGGATGAAGATCAAAGAATACAGCTTTCAGTATAGATTACAACTTAATGTAAAGAAAACTAAAATCCTGACAACTAAACTAATAGACAACATTATAATAAATAGAGAAAATATTGACATTGTCAACAATTTCATTTTACTTGGATTTATAATCAATGCTTATGGAAGCAGCAATCAAGAAATTAAATGACATTTTACAATGGGCAAAAGATCTCTTTAAAGTATTAAAGATCAAAGACATCACTTTGAGGACTAAGGTATGCCTGATACAAGCCATGCTATTTTCAATCCCCTCATATGCCTATGAAAGCTAGACAACTAATAAAAAAGACCAGAGGAGAACTGATGCTTTTGAATTATGGTACTGGCAAAGAATATTAAATATGCCATGGCCTGCACAAAAAAAAACAAACAAATCTGTCTTGCAAGAAGTGCAGTCAGAATGTCCCTTAGAAGCAAGGATGACAAGACTTTGTCTCATATACTTTAGACTTAATATCAGGAGAGACTAGTCCCTGAAAAAGGATATCATGCATGGCAAAGTGGAGGGTCAGCAAGAAAGAAGAAGACCCCTCAACAAGATAAATGGACACATTGATGCAACAATGGGTTCAAGCAAAGGGACAGTTTTGAGGAGGGCGCAGGACCAAGCAATATTTTAATCTGTTGTGCACAGGGGTTGCTATGAGTCAGAACTGACTGGATAAACTCTAACAACAATATACATATTATTTGGTTAACACTGGTTATACTAATGTGTCAGCATTCTCATCATTTCCCTTCTAGTTCTTCTGTCTCCATTAAGCTAGCAGCTTTGTTCCCCTTTACCTTCTTCTCTTTGTTCTGGGGCAAATGTTTGCCATCAGATCTTATTTAGATGATTGCTTAGAAAAGCAGAGCACTCACGGGTGATATTTATATTTTATGAGCCACTCTGTTTTTTGGATGATGTGAGGTCTCAGTTTCAGGTTTAAAGTTATTTCCCAGGGTGACAGTCTTGGCGGTTCCTCTAGTCTCTACTGATCTGGCAAATTTGGTCTGTTTTAGGAATTTGAGTTTTATTCTATCCAGCACAATCTACTGTGTTCCTGGTCAGAGTGGTCAGTAATGGTAGTTGGGCACCATCTAGTTCTTCTGGTCTCACGGTAGGTGAGGTTGTGGTGGCGGTAGACTATTAGTTTTGTTGGTGTAGATTATTTGTTTGCCATACTGTGGTGGCTTATGAGTTGCTGTAGTTCATGAAGTTATGCCATGTGTTTTGAATGCCAGCAGGGTGACCCATGGTGGGCAGGTTTTAGATGAGCTTCCAGAAAAAGACAGACTAGGAAGAAGGAGAGACAGACTACTTCCAAATATTTAGTCAATAAAATCCTTATGAATAGCAGTGAAACACTGTCAGCACCAGATTACTGAATATTGAAACATGATAAAGAGGACCAGAAAAATTGTCAGTTACAGTGCCGGATGATGAGCACCTCAGGTTCGAAGGCTCTAAAACGCAACTGGGGAAGAGCTGTCAGCTCAAAGTAGAGTTGACCATGATACCAGAAATGAAGAAAAGCCTGCGGGACCTTCATTTGCTGATGGGGCACAACTCAAAATGAAGAGAAACAGCTGTAAATATCAATTAATACTTGGAACTTGGAATGTGCAATGTATGAATTGAGAAAAACTGAAAATTGTCAAAAATGAAATGGAACACATAAATATCGATATCCTAGGTATTAGTGAGCTAAAATAGGCTGGCACTGGCCATTTGAATCTGACAATTACATGTTTACTATGCCAGGAATGACAAATGGAATGTCGTTTGCATTCGTCATCAAAGGAACACATCAAGATCAGTCTGAGGTACAACGCTATATGTGATAGGATAATATCCATACACCTGCAAGGAAGGCTAGCTAATACCACTATTACTCAAATTTACACCAGTGATGATGAAATTGAAGAATTCTATCAACTTCTTCTGTCTGAAATTGATCAAACATACAATTAAGATGTATTGGTATTTACTGGCAATTGAAACGCAAAGGTTGGAAACAAAGAGAAAGGAACAGTTGTTGGAAAATATGGCCTTGATGATAGAAATGATGCTGAATATCGAATTTTGCAAGACCAATGACTGGTTCATAGCAAATACTTTTTTAAACAACATAAAAGACAACTATAGGGAGATGTGGATAAGACTCTTGGGGTACAATAGTGAATAATTGCTATCAGTACTGACTGTGAGAGTCAGAAATGTAAAGGTAGATATTTTGTAACAAAAAGAGGGGAGTGATTGATTTTGCAGTCGAGGAGCAGAGGTCCATACACAGAGAGGAGGTGATGCTAGAAATGGAGGTAGAGACAATGATGTGAACAGATGGAGTGGCTGCAGACTCTGGACTCAGGGAGGGAGAGGAGCTGTGTGCTGACAACTGGGAGGCAGGCCTATGGGGTGTACACTTTAGTTGTTTGATGATGCATGGAGGGGACTGTACTCATTGCAATGAAACGAA